GATATTTCTAGGGTTAAAACTTTGTGTTATCAAGTTTTTGGCTTTTATTTAGAGATTCGTCTCCCCAAAGCTAGGGTTAAAACTCTGTGATATTTCTAGGGTTAAAACTCTGTGTTATCATTCAGAGATCCGTCTCCCCCAAAGCGTACAAAACTCCAAAAGCTAAAAGTCTGAATGAAAATAAAACCTGTGTTATCAAGTTTTTGGCGCCGTTGTTGGGGACCAATTACATTGCCTTCGAATTTGAGATTGAAGTTTACTCTAAGAGTTACTAACAAATTTTATTTTGCAGTAGATTGGAGTAGATTATGGTTTTAAAACGATTAAAATATTTAAAATGAAAGATGGTATTTACAAAGTTGAAGACATATTTGGAAAGAGAGCAATTGTCGACGCCATGGAGAGGTTCTGAATTCAACTACTCGCATCATCAAAACCATTGATGGGAAGATAAGAAATAGGCTAAGCTCAATTCGAGCTCTATGACAAATATGAGGAGGGGCTCTGTCGGTTGTTTGCGGCTCAAACGCCACCTTAAATATAGCCAAGCAGAGCAAAGCGCACTTTCCTAAGTGACTGTTTTTAGTTTCAATTCCTATGTTTACTTCTCGGAAAAATATGTAACAACCAGGCCCGATACAAAGTTTGGGAGGGCAGAGCAAAAAAAATTTTGGGCACTATATGTTAAAAAAAAAAATCGGGTTTTTATGAAAAAAAATTCACCTAATTTTTGTTTTTTTTAATAAAGGGACCGTATGCAAATACACTCCTTGTACATCCTTAAAACCGGCCCTGGTAACAACAATTGTAAAAAACTTTTTTGGTTTGAACAATAATTTAATTCAATTCAACAGAAAAAAAAAATTGAAGACATGCATAATTAAAATATTTTTCCATTCTCTCAATAGTTTTTAACCCAAACTCTTATTCTTTAAATATTTTATTAGGGTTTTGTCTGTAATACTAATTAATGAATTTAACTAAAGAAAACTATTAAGGATTCGGACCCATGTATTTGTCTTTATGATCAGTGATCACACACTATAAGCCTATGACCAATAAACTAAACTAATGTTTTAGGGTATGAAATTGAATCCCCATCTATATATATTTATACAGACAAATATGGGAGCATGAAGCTTTAACTTCTAATTTTAGTCACTGATCACGGTTTGGCTAGTGAATGCAAGACCCTTCTTGAAGAGCAAGAATGGTTTCTAATTCGAATTTTGGTTGGAAGAAAACTTATAGTCCCGACGTAAAGATTTACGAATCTTGGTTAGAATTCTTCAGAGCTTTAATTTCTTATACCACTTCACAAATTTTTTTACTAAAAAATTGGGACACGAATATAGGAGGTTGTTGCATTTATAATCGTTAAATTAAAAAAACAAAAATAGTAAAACCACATGACTTTTCGTTGCCCCTTCCTAATTTCGTAAGGCTTGAAGATAGATAGGAATGGGCCAGTATATATATATGCATGATATACAAAAAAAAAAAAGCACAAACGACTATACAACTTGTATGTATGTGTATTGTATGGTGTCCCCTCATGCAAAGATTTTGTTTGTCACAAAATTCCAGAGCTTTTGCAAGATTTATTCCAAAAGATAAATTGGGACCTTTCATGAGATCTTCTCCATGATTTTTTGCTACTTACACTAACTATACAATATATAATAAATATATCATCTCAAATCTTTTTATGATACGTTCAACAGATATTTCCGATATTTGGTTACTTTTTCGAAAGGTAGAAGTAGAAAACTCGAACCATATGGGAAAGCAATCCTAGCCATTCACACGTCACGCCATGATCTAACGGTCATGTACGGTTTCGGTCCGTGGTCCAGCGAATCTGAACCGTCCACTTGGTGGGTGCAAACCTTTTTGGGCCATTGGATAAGTTTTGGTGGAAATGGAACCAAGTGTCTACTAATTATAGCAAAAAAAAAACAAAACCAAATGCCAAATGTTCGGTTTTGTGAACCAAGATTATGTACGTTATCTGTACCGGTCAACGACTGTCTACGTTCAAACGACATGATGGTTTCAAACTTTCAACGGTAGTTTGACTTCTTTCTTATAAATCTCCGTTGCCTTTCCGTATTTGTGATCTCCTTTTCCGTATTTCATCAGCCCATTATATGTCTATCCACATTCAATGGCTGAATTCGTAAAGAAAATGTAATTTCTATTTTTTTTCCAAATTTTTGGTAAAGATATTTCCAACATTTTTCTCGATACCTTACCGAAACCCATGCATGATATAATAATACAAAAATATATAATTCGTTTTGGTCCACCGACATTCATGATATGATGATATAATAATCAAATTTTTGATATATACAATATGTATGTGTGTATATTTGTACAAATACTTGGTCTAGATATGCATATAAACCGTTCAAATTATACGCGTTAAGCATAGTAAGAAAGACATGTGGAACAGAAGTTGAGTGAGACAGTGTCTCATGAAAAGTGGCAGAGACACATTAATAAATAACATTAAAAGAAAGACCAACAAAGAAATTAAATGATGTCTTTTATTTCATATTTCACGTACCATTCTCGTGCTACTCCCATGCACTTAACATGTTTGCTCTGCTTCTCACTTTTAATTTACTGAACTAACCTAATTCCAACTACTTTTTCGGTTATGATCTTCTCCATAATGCAACAATCTAACTAGAGTTTGAATATATTGTGTACTCTAGTATCATACCGTACGTTACTAGTTTCGTGACTATAGTCACGGCTCCATTATAACATCATGAATATCCCCGAGAGTTTGTGTTCCCCTCTATAAGCTAGAATCAACAATCATCTATTACAAGTTTTTAAAATAAAAATTTAGTGTTAACATTTGTTACTATTCGGACCATCCCACACTTATTCCGCACCACACTATCACCACCCTATATGTCTAATTGAGCAACCCAACTAAAAGAAGATCTAACTTTACTAGCAACATTTGGGAACCGTAAACAAAAATTAAACCACAATTTGGAGTCTTTGATTCCCTTACTTATATCATATAGCAACAAAAACCTTTTGGGTTTTGGCCAACAACTAATTTAAGAACGTTACACCTCACTAGTATCAACGAATTTAACCAGCTCTACATCCCCGGCTTGAGAAAATTACGGGTTTAGGTCAAAAAATTTTGGATTATCATAAAAATAACCCTGGACCGACCGATCTAGGAAGACAAAAAAAACATGTAATAAAAAGTTATATCGTCAGTACAACTTAATCAAATAATATCATTTTTTGTTGTNTTGAATCAAACATTTTTATTGCAAAACGTAACAAGTATTGTTAAACTTGGGGACATCCGATGAAAGAAAAGAAGAAGCTCAAAGTAAACATTATGGGCTAATAAAAAGGCTTCAAACAAATATTTTAGTTTGAGTTTAAATGGGCTTTTTATGGCCCATTAAGGATTTTGTTTCCTTTGGATCCGTCTCACCGGAAACATCTCTCGCA